AATTTAGGAATTCTTAAGTAAAAGTTAGAAAATAACATTTAAAATACTAAATTCCTTTGGTTTATTTAAAGGAATAAGTTACACTTTTGAACTATGAGGGTTATATATGTTTTTGTAAGAAGTTAATGAGATTAAGAAAAACAAAAGAAGAAAGTTAAAACCACCTGTAATTTACCAGAAATAAACATTCTGATGTATTACCTTTCAATGCTTCTTTCTATGGAGATGTATATACAAATTGTATTCTGCCATTTTCACAAAGCAGTCTATGGTGAATATTTCCTCTTATTTTAAGCTTTTAAGATAATAATGTTATTGGTAGCATTTTTCAAATAAAGTATGCCAGATTACTCCCATCTTAATGCATTTTTATTTTTTAATGCTACAGTCTACCAAAAATATTGCCATATTTTCAGATTACAGGGCAAATGGCATTAAAACAAAATCCTTGAAAGAAACGTCCAAGCCCTAATCAATTGCTAAGTCATTTTTAATGGTAAAATATTCTAATACAACAAACAGGTAGGACAGGTCTGAGATTTTAAGATTTAACCCGTGTATCTCTCTTTAACTACATTTCCCTTCAAAAAACAACTTTTTCATAAAAAACCTTCAGTCCAATATTAACAAGTATTTCTAGAATATTTCTTAGAATAAGTTTTATCTGGTGTATTTTTTTTTCAAATAAGTTACTCTACTAAGAGGTACATCTTAAATTAAAAATCAAAATACTTTGCTAGAAGAAATATAAGTGCAACACCTACGGTATCTATGTGTTAGTCTCTATTATAAAATGACAAAACATGTTTACAAGAGTAGTGCTGGAAAACAGAACTAGGCCCCTTGGCATATAGAATGAGTTCTATTATATTATTTAATAGAAACTATAATTTGTCATTTTCATTGTTAAACATTCCACTAAATTTAACCATACTTTAAAAGGTAAAATTCCAAACTTGAAACAAAAGAAAATAGGAAGAGCAAAAAGAAGAGTCTTGTTTTCTATTATGTTTCCATAATTCTAAATGTGATAATTTATTTCAGCCTGTTACCATGAGCATAAATATCAATATAAGATCACAAATCAAGGGGAAAAGTCAAATACTTAATAAGTACCAAAGCAATTTCACCCTGAGATGACATAAAAGGAACAGTTTAATGCACACAATTCCTTTAATTACAAATAACTTGATTTTCTTTAGGTGTCCAATTATCCAATTTGTGGTCTTTTGACCACATAATATTTGCTCCAAGCCCCAACCCAAATCTTCCCCAAGGAAGTACAAATAGACTTGATAACACAAATCACGATTTGGCCTAATAAGAGATTTATAAAAAGAACAGAGGTGAAACTACTGTGTTTCAGCAACGATTTGGGGACTATAGGTCTGTTCCCCATATTTCTGAATATTATGAAAAACTGCTTAGACTTTTAATAAAACCAGGAGTTCAAAATAAGGTAAAATTTACGATCAATATATAACACATTAAGGAATACAAACTTAAAAGACAAACCATGCTATATGCAAATCATTCAATGTCAAAAAAGTTAAACGTACACCAAAAGAGGTTTATAAAGCTACACAGTGATATTTTTAAAAGGAACAAATTAATATGGGTAAATATTACACTTATAAAAATTGATATTCAAAATTGAAAAATGAAAACACTCAAAATTGAAAAATGAATACACTCTTTAGAAATAGCAAGGAACTTAATTTTTAGATTAATTTTGGTTAACACATTTTTAAAAATAAGGACTATAATTGTAAAAGAACTTTAAAATTATTTTTAAAAATAAATTCCTTAGCTAAGACCAAAAAGAAGCACTTGAGGGAGATTTTGTAATTTTATTTAGCATGTAAAAGTTTGCTGCAACATGCACAGTATGTAGAAAAAAAATTTCTATTCAGATTATATAACCTGTGGAGAACTTAACATGTGACAACCTGGGGCTTCATTGCGACCTAGACTGGTATCCAGTTTATTTCAGGGCAACTAACTGAGTCCTGGACTAATGCAGGCCAATGGCATAACAGCTGAGGACAGGAGCCTGCTGGTAGTGAGTGCCATGGTAACGAGGAAGGTGAGTGTCGAATTAATCATCACCTTTATGAACCTCACTAATGTACTAACCTGTTAATTGTTTAACTCTAGCTTAAGAAATAGTTAAGAACTAGAGGGACAATAATTTATTTCTGTAGTATCTGTCACTTCATGGAGATGTTTTTTAAGATAACCAAACATACTATTGGTTGCAGGTGCTTTTTACATGTCTAACTTGTGTACCTGGAACAATTACATGTACTACTTAACAGAGACTATATCCCTTCCTTTCCTTCATGCCCAGGGAAGACAAAGAAAATAGTTACTATATATAATGATACTCCTTTTTAAAAAAGGCTAAGATATCATAAAACAACTTTTAAAAATTGTCTAATCTACTTTTACTTACTATGTATCAAGATAGTACTATACAAGTTTAAAATTCGAAAATCATATAACTATGTATATTACAAATGGATATTTTATATTACAGAAGGAAAGCTTACAGTGAGCTAAAAAAAATAGTAATTTACTTTGGAAAACCATAAGTGGTAGATATATCTGTGGGTATGGTTACATAGAGCCCAGAAGGCATTCATTTAAAAATAAAATTGCTTAATACTTAGGAAGGCACAGAGATTTTTTCAGTCAGTGCACCACCTTTTTCCCTTTCAATCATGCCCCAAATAAGAATTCTTTCTTAGAATATTAGAGCTGAAAGAATCCTTAGAAATCATCTGCCTGTGACTCTCAATGTGAGGTGATACTTCACCCTAGGAGATGCTCAGAAATACAGGGTTGTTTTGGATATGACAACAACCGGAAAATGCTACTGGCATTAGGAGTCCTTCATATCCTACAGTGCACAAGACAGTCCCTTATAATGCAGAATTACACAGCCCAAATGCCAGTACGTCTACCCATTGAGAACATACCCACTGAATTCTCCATTGTGAAGATGTAGCCATTTAGACTCAGAGATGTTAATGACTTACTCAAGAACACATTGTTAAGTTTAGAACCCAGATTCTCATTCTCTTGTTCTACTTCTTGCTCAATGAATAAATTCTCAATACAGAAACACAGAATAACCAAGAATCAATCATATATGAATATATAAAAAATAACCAAAAATTGGTAATGTATTAATATTTGAAACTGAAGTAAAACTGCATTTGCTAAAATACTAATAACACTTTCAAAATGTTTTGCTATCCTAAGAAATAATTCCCTTTCAGATAAATCATTTTCAAAAATTCATAAAAGTTAAAAGAAAGTGGACAAAATCAATTAACTTATTATAGTTACCAAATAAAAAATTTTTTGAAAGGGAAAATTAAATGGTTTCTGCTGGTTTCAGAACTGGATGTCCTATAATCTAGTACTAAATCTTCCCTGTTAACCCTGAAGAGATGTATTATAGTGAAAAGAACACTGAATTAAAAATCCAAAGGATTTGATACTAATCCTTGCTCTGTTATATATAACTAGTCACCAAATCTTGAACATGTCAATAACCCTCTAGATTTCAGTTTCATGTTACATAAAGTGAGGAGTTCAGGTCTCTGAGATTCCTTCTTGCTCTAAGATTCTGCTTCTATAGTTCTTCTTCATTGCACAACTGGTAGGATAAAAAAAACTTCATGGATAAGCACCCTAGAGTAAGTAGGGATATAACTAAATACTGAGTCTCAAAGGTGATCACCAACAGGTGTCACTGACAGTAAGTCCTATCATTAATTTAGTTATTATTTGGCAGTACCTTACTTCCCAGTGATTTCACTTGACATCATCTATAAGAGTAAGCACCATTCCTTTTTTCCTACATTGTCCTAATTTGTTTGATTAGTGATAATTAAACAATCTTCAGAGTAATTCAAAAGTAAAACTTTATTCTTCAAAAGATATTTGCATTAAATGTCTAACCTCTACATACATGCTGAGATTAAAATGTTTTAAATTTAGAATTACAGTAGAACTGGCAGAGTATACTGGGAAGTTTTTGTAGACAGTGTACTAATATGTATTAATAAATATGCATACATACATGCATATGCCTACATACTCACTATGTCTCTACATTTCTCTTAAGTTCTTAAATTTGGTTTTTGCTATGGATACTATATATACAGCCTAAGAAAACTGAGTTGTATTTATAACCTTTGTTCTTACAAATTTCAATTGATACATAAAATATTTCTGATTCCTTTTCATACACTGTGTTATACTTAGGCAATGTATATTTATTAAATAGTAATATAAAATAAATTAAATAGGGACAGAGAGATACTTATTTCTATTTTTCTTTCCCTCCCTCCCCCTTTTATCTCTCTCTCATATATACCCACACTCAACACTATTCCTCCACTACCACCATCCCAGTATGCAACATAAGTTAGCTATCAAGCTCTGAAGACTGAATCTAAAAACACTTTGACAAATATTCTTAAAATGAGATTATATAAGGCTTTCAAACTATTCAAGAATAATCTTTAAAATATATTAACCTGAGGATCATTTACTTAAATACAGTCTTTTTTTACAATATTCTGAGGGTATCCCTGTGTGTGGTCCTTTCATCCTACTCTTTCATCCTAAAGAAATTCATAATCTTTGTTGCTTCTTATGCCTCACTTGCTGTGGTTATGTCAACAATTTTTTAAGTGCATGATTTAAATACAATTAAATATGTGATTTTGTCTTTGGTTAAGGTCACAAATTTAATCCTTCAGTTAGTTAAACATGTAATTGTTATTCCATCACATCCACAAAGTCTAGGATTAGCTAGTAAAGACAAATATTCTGTGGGCACTCTAAAACACTGGTGCATAAAAAAAAGATTATTATAAACACAACATTCCATTTCAGACAAGCACAAAGTTTTGTCAAATAGATGCTTTGTTACTTGCAATGAACATCTGACAAACATTCAATATATTAAAATCGTACTGTACCAAAACTATCAGGGGTCTCTGCTGATGACACCTCTTTCGCTCGTTTTACAATGGCAATCTCAGGTTTGGGATATCTGCATGCTAAAAATATTTTAAAATCAAAATGTATTCAAGCAGTAAGGTAATAAAACATGTACAAATAAATGCTTATGAAATTTTGAAGTGAAGCAAATTAGAATATAGGTAGTTTTCAATTTGTATGGTAGTATGGGGCCGTAAAAATGACGATGCAGCATGAAAATGTGCAAAGTTAATAACCAATGAGGAAAATATCCAATTGCTCTGTGACCTTTAAAAATTTTTTTTGAAATATTAAAAACTCTTGCTGACAGTTATAAATAAATATAAAGGGAAACTTAAAATAGCAAAACTAATCTTTATTTAGTATGCTATAATGTAAAATATTAGAAACACTGAGATAGTGTTTTATTTCCTTATAAAAAATTTATCAAAAGTAGCTTCAAGAATGCTAGTACACTTCTCATCACATAATTTACAATATGGAACATCATCCTTTTCATCACAACCTTCTTACTTTCCTCATCGATAACCATAATTTCCTTCTCTAAATTTCTCCAGCTGCATATCTGGAGTCTGTCAAATGGCAGCAGTTCAACAGCAATGTGGACACTCTCAGTGTCAGCTATTTCTTCTATAATTTCATTTACATTTGATTAAAATTTCACATCAGCATTATTACTTTTTGTTTGCTGCATTTTCATCTCTTTTGGTCAATTCCCTTTTGATTATTCGTTTTTATAAAATGCCTCATGGATTTATCACTGGGAGACAAGGAGGTAACACAATTACACATTTTGCTATGTGTGATACAAATAACAGATAAGCAGTGACCAATTACTGAGACTGTGAAAGAATACATGAGTGGACATGATCATGACACATATCTGTTTTTACATGGTGATTTATGGACTGAGAAGCTAGCAGCAAAGTTTGTACTTTATGCAGTTATTCACAGCTAATATACTACAGTAAATGAAATCTGAACTGTGTTGTTAGGAATGGCTTATCATAACTAAAACATAGTTATGGAAATATGTGCATGAGGGAACTGCAAAACAGGGACTGCCTGTAATAACAATAAATAAATAAATAAATAATAAATGGGCACAAATCCAGAAAAAAGGGCACTAGAATTTGATATATTTTTCTACACAAATAAAGGAAAATAAGAAAACAAGGTTCTTTCCTTAGAAGTTACATGTTTTCCACTTAAATCATTTAAATTTACTATCACTCAACTACCAGTGGAAGAATAGTTAACCTATAATGAGGCAAGGTTCAGTGATTAAATCTTGTGTTTAAAAATAAAAGAATCTTACCACAGACAAATCCCTAGAAAAGTACAACCTTCCATGACTGATCCAGGAAGAAAAAATCGGAACAGACCAATTACCAGTAACAAATTGAACTGTTAATCACACAAAAGTCCAGGATGGCTTCACAGCTGGATTCTACCAAACATTTACAGAAGAGCTAATACCCATCCTTCTTAAAGTATTCCAAAAAACAGAAGAGGAGGGGAATACTTCCAAACACATTCTATAAGGCCAGCATCACTCTAATACAAAACCAAAGACACTACAAAAAAAAAGGAAATTATAGACTAATATCACTGATGAACATAGATGCAAAAATCCTTGAAAAAATATCAGTACCAAATTAAAAAATAATTCAAAAGGATCATCCATCAAAACGAAGTAGGATTTATTCCAGGAATGCAAGAATGGTATAATATTTGTAAATCAATCAATGTCATAAACCATATTAACAAAAACAAGGATAAAAACCACATAATCATTTCAAAATATGCTTAAAAACATTGACAAAATTCAATATCCATTCATGATAAACTCTCAATAAAATAGGTATAGAGGGTATGTAACCCAACATAATAAACGCCATATACAACAAACCACAGCTAACATACTTAAGAGCAAAAAGCTGAAAAGTTTTTCCGTAAGATCAGGAACAAGACAAGTATGTCCACTCTCACCACTTTTATTCAACATAGTACTGGAGGTTCTAGCCACAGCAATCAGACAAGACAAAGAGATAAAAAGCATCCAAATTGGTGAGAAGAAGCTAAACTGCCACTATTTGCAGATGACATTATATTATACATAGAAAACCCTAAAGACTCCACCAAAAAACTACTAGAACTAGTAAGTGGGTTCAGCAAAGTTGCAGCATACAAAATATTCAGAAATCTGTTGCATTCCTATATACTAACAATGAACTAGCAGAAAAAGAAATCAGGAAAACAATTCCATTGCAATTGCAGCAAAAAGAATAAAATACCTAGGAATAAATCTAACCAAGGAGATGAAAGACCTGTACTCTGAAAACTATAGCACACTCATGAGAGAAACTGAAGAAGATACAAATACATGGAAATCTGTGCTCATGGATAGGCAGAATCAATAATATCAAAATGGGCTTCCTGCCCAAAGCAATTTACAGATTCAATGCAATCCCTATCAAAATACCAATAGCATTTTTCAATGAACTAGAACAGTTCTAAAATTCATATGGAACCACGTAAGACTCCAAATAGCCAAAGCAATCCTGAGAAAGAAGAACCAACCTGGGGGGATTATGCTCCCTGACTTCAAGCTATACTATAAAGCTATAGTAATCAAAACAGTATGGTACTGGCACAAGAACAGACCCATAGATGTAAATAAAAGAGAATAGAGAACTCAGATATAAACCCACACATACATGGTCAATAAACATATGATAATGGAGCCATGAATATGCAATGGGGAAAAGACAGCTTCTGCAATAACTGGTGTTGGAAAACTGGGCAGCTACATGCAAGAGAATGAAACTGGATTATAGCCTAACTCCATACACAAAAGTAAACTTGAAATTGATCAAAGACCTGAATATAAGACATGAAACCATAAAACTCTTAGAAGAAAACACAGGCAAAAATTTCTTAAACATAAGCATGAGCAATTTTTTCCTAAACACATCTCTTTGGGCAAGGAAACAAAATAAAAAATGAACAAGTGGGACTACATCAAACTAAAAATCTTCTGAACAGCAAAGGACACCATCACAGAAGAAAAAGGCAACCTACAGTATGGGAGAATATATTCATAAATGATTTATCCAGTAAGGGGTTAATAACCAAAATATATAGAGAACTCATATACCTCAATACCAAAAAAGCAAGTAACTTGATTAAAATATGGCTAGAGGACCTGAACAGATATTTCTTCAAAGAATAACTACAGATGGCCAACAGGCACATGAAAAGATATTCCACATCGCTAATCATCAGGGAAATACAAATCAAAACTGCAATGGGATATCACCTTAACCAATTAGAATGGGCACTATCCAAAAGACAAGAAATAACAAGTGTTGGCGAGGATGTGGAGAAATGGGAACCCTCCTATGCTGCTGGTGGGAATGTAAATTTGTGCAGCCACTGTGGAAAGCTGTATGGAGGTTCCTCAAAAAGATAAAAATAGAAATACCATTCAAACCTTCTAGGAATTTACCTGAAGAAAACAAAACACCTGATTCAAAAAGATATATGCACCCCTATTTTTATCACCACATTATTTATAATAGCCAAGATATGGAAGCAAGCTAAGTGTCCATCAATAGATGAATGGGAGAATCTGTGTATATATACACAATGGAATATTATTCAGCCATTAAGAAAAAAGAAACTGGGCCATTTGCAACATGGATGGGCCTAAAGGGTATTATGCTCAGTGAAATAAGCCAGGCAGAGAAAGACAAGTACCAAATGATTTCACTCATCTGTGGACTCTAACAACAAAGAAAAAACTGAAGGAACAAAACAGCAGCAGACTCACAGAACCAAGAATGGCCTAACAGTTACCAAAAGGAAAGGGACTGGGGAGGGTGGATGGGAAGGGAGGGATAAGGGGATTTAAGGGGCATTACAATTAGCACACATAATGTGGTGGGGGGCACGGGGAAGGCAGTGTAGCACAGAGAAGACAGGTAGTGACTCTATAGCATTTTACTACACTGATGTGACTGACTGTAATGGGGTATGCGGTGGGGACTTGATAATGGGGGTAATCTAGTAACCACAATGTTGCTCATGTGACTGTATATTAATGATACCATAACAAAAGTAAATAAATAAATAAATGTGATACAACACACACATACAAAAATAAGTCAGGTGGAGAATGACAAATAATATATGATTTCACTTATTTGTGGAATATAAAAACAAAACAAAACAGAAGGAGCAAAACAGCAGAAGACTCATAGACACTGAGAAATGACGAGTGGTTACCATGGGGTAGAGATGGGTTGGGTTGGTGGAGAGGGTAAAGGGGATAAAGAGGCATGAAAATTCTCAATCATAATATAAGCTGGTCACAGGAATAGTAGTACAGCATAGAAAATACAGTCAGTGATTCTGTAACATCTTTCTATGTCGACAGATAGTAACCGCACTAGTGGAGGTGAGGATCTAATAATATGGATAACTGTTGAACCACTGTGTTGTAAATTAGAAAGCAATATAAGATTGTACATCAATGATACTTTAATTAAAAAAATGAATTTTATCATAAATCAACTAAAAAGCAAGGCTTTTTAAAACCACCTTTGTATTCATTACTGAAAACAATTCTTAAAGATTATTAAAAAAAAAAAAACAAAAATTTGCAGAAAATAGTCCCTGATCTCAGGGATATACAAACACACATGAGATGATTGAGAAGAAAAAAAATACACTGTAGGAAGGGAGAAATTATAGCCTTAAGAAGTGGGAAACAGCCTCCAGAAAGAGGTAGGATTTGGGTTTGGTCTTAAAGCACTGCAAGGATTTAAATAAGTTACTTAAATTATTTTAGTTTCCTTTTTTCTTTCTCATACAATTCAGTACAAAAGTCCTAAAGTGGGGTTGAGTGAAGAAGGCATCTGTGTGAGAGGCAGGGGAGGCCACAGTGGCCCAGAACAAGGTTTCAGAGCTTCAGACTGGGTGAGGGAGTATCTACATAAGGGAGTCAGGATGGTCAAGATCCAAGACTGGGTGACAAAGGCCTCCCCATGGTAGA